AGGGATAAATTCACGCTTTTGTAGCAAAACTCAGTGAAAGATGTTTCTGTTGGTTTCCGGCCGCCATGTTTGGTGCCCATCCGTCTCCAAACAAATCTCTATAAATTTGGTTAAAAAAATTTCTCTGTATATCTTGCATAAGAAAAAATGCTGTGACCTGAATCTTGGCGAGAGTCTTTGCATATTTACCTTGTTTCTTTTCTCAGATTCTGGACTTTATCTATTGAACGGTTTTGATTTTAATTTTGATCTATTTTGAATGGTGTGACACTGAAAACCAGCAATTGGTAGCCATCACACAGATTTTAACAAATCGGGCACGTATAGTTGAGTTGACTAACTTGACTTTTTTCGAGTCTTGCAGTGGAAGTTAGTGATCAAGTTGGTCAGGATTTGAAGGATTCAGTTAGCATTCGGTAAAAACTCCCAATGATAAGCATTCATAGTAAATTGTGTCTGAAGCAGCTCGATTCAGCTCCAGATAGCGAGAAGTTCAGATAACTAACATTGCTTAAGAGAATTTGTGAAGCACTCAGTAGAACTTTTCTACTAACTACACTAAAGTTAGGGTTGATCTGCACCTTCTTTCACTTGAAAGAAACGTTTTAGTTCGAACGAAACTTTACTTAAGAGTGAATGCCAATAAAAATGGACCTAAATCGCCTATCAATGGCACAAGTCGAAAACTTGATTTCGCTTGTATTTTGTCCATAGATGGGTCCTAGCAAGAAAAGAAACGGACCATAGTTACTTTCTGCTAATACAGCTTTCTTTGGTAGAAATACGCCAAAAACGATTTCGACCCGATTGGGCTCAAAATCTACTTCCGGTTTTGCTGNTACAATAGATTGTAGAATCATAAGTGAATCATAAGTATTATCTAATTTAATAATAACTAAATATAATTAATATTATTTAATGATGAAATACCATATTTTCTCGATTAAGAGTGAATGCCTATAAAAATGGACCTAAATCGCCTATCAATGGCACAAGGCGAAAAATTGATTTTGCTTGTATTTTGTCCATAGATAGGTCCTAGTAAGAATAGAAATGAACCATAACTAGTTTCTGTTAATACAGCTTTCTTTGATAGAAATACGCCAAAAACGATTTTGACCCGACTGGGCTCAAAATCTACTTCCGGTTTTGCTGAATTTTCTGAATATTTGATTGCTTTGCGCTCCGCAGAACAGCTACTTGAGAATCTTTCAATGGATTTTATATTCAGTTCAGGTCTTCGTAGTATGACTGAGCGAAAAATAAAATAAATCAAAGTTACTTTTGAGCCTGAAAAGAGATAAAACTGACAAGCAAAATTTTACAGTATGTCGCAAGAGAATTATTGCATAAAAACATCGCCATATTTTTTTATGGGCTATAACTTTAAATACCATAAAAACACTTTCTATGGGTTAAATATACACTCACCTGTTAGGATATCAAAAAATATCTCTGGGCAAATGGTTTCAAGTCGCCTGCCTTGGCCTGTGTTTCTCGTAGATTTTGCCCAAAATCCGCCTTTGGAATGTAAACAATTGCGTGACGCGGAGAGCCACTCTCGAGTAAAATATTCGTTTCCAGCAATCCGATGAAAGCAATTTTTGAAACGTTGTGTGGATAAAATAATGGAAAATGTGTTTTTTTTGGTTTAAGTTAGTATAAATATATATGTTTTTTCATTTGCATTGCAACACCCACGACATCCCTGATAAAGAACGGTACTACAGTACTCCGAGAAATGATTTTAACACTTGTTTGTTTTATTGATTTCACTTATAACTTACAATACAGTGGCAGTTTTAGAGATACACTTAACCAGTCCTTTATGGTTTATGGCAATTGAATTGCCGACAAATGAAGTCAAGTGGAAATACCATAATTTTTATAAACTACTATTTGCATGACGGCATCTCAGCTCTTCTAGCTGTGTAGAAAATTTGTACCTACACAATAGGCTCAAACTCAGCTAGAAAACCTGGAATTTCTTGAATTGAATTAGCCGAGGAAAAAATTGCGTATAAGTTTCAATCATACTAGGAAAAAAAAATCCATCTTTTCTACTTTGGTTGTTTGATCAATTAACTGAAATTTGCAGATCATAACACTGATAGACAAATCATGTAAACATTACAGTGGTCGATCTAGGGCTAGGTTTACACTAAAGGAGTTTTTTTGGATTCGTAAAAGTTCCTGGATTCATCAATTTTAGAGTATTCGGATTAGTAGGGGTTTACAGTGAAAGGATATTCGGATTCTTAACCGTTTATTCACGACGATAACTCCGGGAACATTCATGATGGAATGGTTAACAAGCAGTTTGTTGCCTCAACGACGATAAACAAAATGCCTCCGAAAACAAGGCTAGGGGTAGGTTGAGACAGTCTGAAGCTTTCTTTCAACTCGCTGACCACGGTACTGTTGTCCATC